AAAACTCCCCAATCAAGAGCAATGCCGCCAAGGCAAGAACGATGGCAGGGGCGAATGGGCCGCCGCATCAAAAAACTCTATTGCACATACCAGGTACCCTCAATCATAGGCCCTGTTCCCTAGGGTCCATGTATTCATAGGGTATATAGGGTTCCTTTGATGGTTCCATAAGGGCTTACGGTTTAGGGTATGAGGGTCCATGTATTCTAACAGTATATATATATATATATATATATTTATATAAGTACCTATATAGGGACTACTTTTTGGCCAAAGTCTCTGCTGTTTGGGTCATGCATGAGGCCTTAATAATTAGAATAAGGTTTTGGGGCCCTTTATAGTATAATGATAATAAGGACCCCCCCCCAAAAAAATAGTATAGGTTATTATGAAGGCACTTATATTACACCAAACCCTAAACCCTAAACCCTAAGACCCTAAGACCCTCAACCTTGGGAAGAGGTGCAGGTTTCTTCGCACATGGGTAGCTCGCTAAATAAGGGAACCGGGTTTAGGGTTTAAGGTTTAGGGTTTAGGGTCCTTAAAGGGATCTACAAGGGGTTTCTATAAGGGTGCTATAAGGTAGTTCTCTAAATAAGAGTCCATTGTAGGGTCCTTGTTACAAGGGTGCCGTACTATTTCCGGGACCTAACAAGGGACCCTAGTGTAGAGAACTACCCCACGTGGGGTCGAATGCCTCAACGGGTTTAGGGCCTGAACACAGAACTTCCCCTAAGAGTCCATGTACCCAAATATTAGATACTTTGGCCTTAAGGTAGTCCCGATATAAACCCTAAACCCTAAACCCTAAACCCCGAAACCCTAAACCCCGAAACCCTAGGTACTCTGGGGCCAATGTATACTATATGAATACATGGACCCTTAGGGTTCGAAGAGGATCTGTAAATCACCAACTATCGAACACCTGGCCCCGAAAAGTATATCTGCTACATATAATTAGGGTTTAGGGTTTAGGGTTTAGGGTTTAGGGTTTAGGGTTTAGGGTTTAGGGTTTAGGGTTTAGGGTTAGGGTTAATGTGGTAGCTATGGCAGCACTCAGTGTTAGGTCAAGTACTCATTCTGAGACAAGCATCTGGCATGAAAACCTCTCGCAACTACAAGACAGTTCGCCATGCAAGGCAAACTACTCAGTCCACTGAATCTTAATATTACTACCTAACTTTAATACTAGTATTGAATCCCTATACTAGTACTGTTATTCATATTAAACTCTCCGAAGTTGATACATAGTAGCAGAGCGTCTTGCAGATGGTTGAAGGATCTTGAGATCGTGCGTGAGGCGAAGAAATGAGTCGCAGGTCACAGAGAGAAGACGCTGCGCGGCTGCTCCGGACCACTCTGCCTCTTTGACTTCTTCTACCTTCGCCTGGGCGTGGGTTTAGGGTTTAGGGTTTAGGGTTCTGGGCGTGGGTTTATGGTTTACTGGGGTTTACTTGTCTTTGCTGGGGTTAGCTTTTCCGGGCTCCTTCCCATACGGGGTTGAGGGTTTCTGAAACGCGCTGTGCCGTCCCTAAACTACTCGAAGCTCAGTTGCCTACATGGTTTAGCAGCGGGTCCGTCGTTGGTATCGGTGTAGTATCCCATTGGACACGTAACTGGGCTTCTAAAGACATAAGAAGGACCCTTTCAAAATATCACCTCGAAGATCACGGGGAGCTCTCAGTTGGATCGCAGTCTCGCTCGCATGTCGATATAAGCAAAACTTCTGTCTTTCATGGCTCTAGGTGTCTATCTCGGCTGAGATGAAGACAAAACTTCTAGGGTTTCGAGACTTTGCTTTTTGACTCCTTGGGGAAATATCCAAGTATACGTTCACAGTCTCTGTCTAAGTGCGTGTCACATGTTGCCATGAATCTGGTGCCGCTATACATGTACATATATACAAAGGTGCATGTGTGTGTGTCATAGAGAGAGAGAGAGAGTGTGTGTGTGTGTGCCGTTCTGAAAATGAACAGCAGATCTGGCCAGGTGAAGGCCTCGTGATGTAGGATTGAGCGTGGGTCGCATGCATGTATAGACGATAGGCATCTAGATAAGATACCCTCTGCAAACACTACACCCCTAAATCCTAGAACCTAGAAGCGCAAAAGGCCCGACGGTCCGAACACACTAGAGGAACCATAAGCTCTGCTCCCCAAACCCCACACCCCGAACCAGAAAACCCAAAACCCTGAGCCCTAAACCCTAAACCCCTAAACCCTAAACCCTAAATCCTAAATCCCTAAATCCTAAACCCTAGACGCCTCGCCTAAGCATCGGACAGCAACTGAAGGGGCCATGCTTTGCGAGAGTGGGATTCACACTGGAACCCGTTGGGTTCAGAAAGCCCGGCACAGAAAAAGGAACCAAGGAACCAACGGTACAACTCAAGTGCGAAGTCCCTAAACCCTAAACCCTAAACCCCTGAACCCCTAAACCCTAAACCCTAAACCCCTGAACCCCTAAACCCTAAACCCTAAACCCTAAACCCCAAAACCCCAAACCCAGTGGCCTCCAGCTGGATTGCAGCAACCTCGAGCTGGTATTCCTTGCTGTTCCTGGCTGAGGGCCCAAATAACAACAAACCCACCGAGGTTTGGTACATGGGTTTAGGGTTTAGGGAATGACGCCCCTTGTCGTTAAGTTAGGCCATGTTATGACGGAGGCTACTACGGCGCCAGTGCCGAGGATCTCTGCGACAATCAGTGTTTGTTCGTGTCTGCTCTCCTCTAAAGGTTTTATATGGTTCTTTGAGTTCATAAGAGAGCCAAGCGTACGACAGTGCATGTCCGTGGTACAGATCAGTGAAGCGGGAAACAATCAGAACACCATGCTGTGGTACGTTGCACATCATATGCACTGCTCAAGCAGGTCCTCAGTAGTTAACATGATTATCCGGCAAAGGACTAGGCCATGTCTGAATCTGACCCTTGATTCACGACCATCAAGCGAACCCTAAACCCTAAACCCTAGGACAGGCCTCCATTTCTGACACGTGTCCCGCAGCGAAAGCTTACCGGTCCACACGTCCATCGTCTAGAAATTTGGGATAAACCCTAAACCCCTAACATAGGGGCCTTAATAATGAGGGCTGGTTTTTGAGAGTGGAGGGATCCTTAAAAGGCTCCTTAACATAGGGGCCTTAATAGTTAGAAGATGGTTTTGGGGCCCATTATACTATAATTCTAACAAGGAAATCCCAAAATACTATAAGTACTTATTACTAACTAAGGCCAGACTAAGGCCCCTATATTAACACAGCTAGTCCGAGGGTCCTTCCGAGTTCTCATGCTATGAGGAAAAAGTACCGACAAAACAACCCTAACCCCCCAGGTACCTCCTGTATAGGGCCTTAGGGGCTCTGGTACCCTATATAGTAGGTACCTGGGGGGGTTAGGCAAGCGAAGACACGGCATTGACTGTTCATCCTTTAGCTGAGCATCATTGTGGAAATTGCGGCAAAAATGACACCAACCGCGGCCATCTCATTGACGACTTGCCACACGAGATGGTAAATGTAGCCAGTGCTTGTATCCTGGATCATGCTGAGTTGCACGGCAACAAACAGGGGAGCGAGAGCAACGTTCATCCAAATCGCCAACGAACTTTCGGTCGTTGATATGCAGGTCAATATGCGGGAGGCATATACGGCCGGCACGGCCTGAGGGTTTAGGGTTTAGGGTTTAGGGTTTAGGGTTTAAGGGGGTCCTATGCACCTATAAAGTAGAATGTAGGGTTGCTATATTGATGAGGAATTACTAGTATGATTCGGGGAAGTATCCTCCATAACAGTACACACGACCCTTTGGGGATCAGCGTGGAGATATTTGCCAGATCCGGGGTACTAGCAGGGCCTTAAATGGGAACACTGTAAGGTACTCCGGCCTCATGTGGGACTGCGGGAACCATGGCCACATGTGCAAGGCTCATGGCAGCAGTGAAGAATCGCATCCTTGTTTGAGTCAGCTCCACCTCAGCCTTCATGAATTCTCGAAACATCCAGTTGCCCAGCGCGCAGGTGACGAAGCAGGGCAGCTGTGCCATCGTCCCAAATGAGAAGTAGTTCATGCCCAGGAACGTCGACAACATGGTCAGTTCTGCTGACAATGACCATAATGCCAAAGTCTCCTTCAGATACCTCGGCTGCCCGGCTTTGCCAACATGATACAAATGCAGGGTACACCGTGCAGTACCCTGTAGGTGCAAAGAGCACTGAGCAAGACAGGTGCCCCACAGCCAAGACCAAGGCAATGAGACTTATAAACCAAATTTGAGCCCACCTAGAGAATGAGTGAGCTTTGAAGCCCTGTTGTGCGAAACACTTGTCTGGATGGTTGGAATCGGAAGAAAGCAAGGTCACCCAAAAAGGAGCTACAATAGAGCGGCTATAACCCTAAACCCGAAACCCTACCCCCCATAGGAACCCCAAACTTTAAACCCCCCAAACCCGAAACCCTACCCCCCTATGAACCCTAAACCCCCCAAAAAACCCCAAAAACCTGAACTACATCAACCCTAAACCCTAAACCCGTACCAAGACTCTGCTCCCGCTTACGGCGCAGCTGCTGCATGGTGTTTTGAGATCTCGAATCTTTCAGCTCGGGACCCTGCCTCGGCTTTGCTTGGGTTTAGGGTTTAGGG